GCAGGAAGAAGCCCTCCTTGAGCCTTCAGAGGGAGGTGACCCTGCCAGCACCTCAACTTTGGACTTCAGGCCTCCAGACTGGGAAAATATACTTCTGTTGTTTTAAGTCACCTAGTTTGGGTAATCTGTTATGGTGGCCCCAGGAAACTAACAAGATATATATCAATACCTGTATCTTTATATCTATCAACATACACAGATATAAAATAGATATTCTTCCTTGCATGCATATAACATGTCATATAAAATGGGAGGATGCCATCTGTGTTAGTGTTTTTCAAAGTGTGGTCTGAGGAACCCCTGCATTGCCTGGGGACCTTGTCAAAAATGAAGATTCCTGGGCCCCTCCTAGACTTACGGGATCAGACTCTCTGGGTGTGGCCAAATGGGCACTTTAAACTGGCTTTCCAGGTGATTCTGATGGACCTGTAGACCTGGGGCCCCAGTGGTCCCCTGGATGTGGGTGTGCGGGTGACTTGAGGGCAGGAGGCACCAGGAATGTGTCCAAGCAGAACAGGAGGGACAGAGACAGACTGCCCTGCTAAGGGGAGGTCACCAATGTGCCTTTCTAGAAGCTGGTTTGTGCTGTGGGCCCAGATGTTTGGGGTCACGGGGACCCAGCCCCGCCCCCAATGTAGCTGCTCTTGGGAGGAGCCCTGAGCGCACAAAGGCTGTCTGAGCTCACGCTCTGCACACTCAGCCTTCCTGACGCTTCAGCAGCTGCCCCCTGTCCGGCTGCTCCAGCAATTCCAGGGCCCAGGAAAGTGGCCGGGGATGACATCCCGGGAGCAGCTGGTGGGATGGGCCACAGGGCCATCTGGAAGTTTCCAGGCCTCAGGGAACACTTATGTAACCAGCTCACAGGGGGAGTTTGGATGATGGATTAGCTCGGGGGCTGAGGACAAATGGATGCCCAATGCACTGGGCTGAGGGCTGGGGCGGCACCTCCCATCCAGCCTCTGAAACAGGACCCTCTCTTACCCTCTAGCTCCCCCATGGCCCCCACGTGCTCCATGCTATCCAGGACAGAGGAGCGGACGCCCACAAGCAAGCTCTCCGAGGGCCGGGGCGTCTGTACTGCTTGTCACTCACAGGGCTTGGCACAGGGCTTGGCATGTAGTAGGTGCTCAGGAGCGTTTGCTGAGTGAGTGCTTGCATGCGTGAACAGGACTTTTGCCAGGGAGGCAGGATCTGCACAGAGCAGGGCTTCCAAAGGCAGGTCCCCTACCAGCAGCATTCACGTCACTTGGGAACTTAGTACGCATGCAGACTCCTGGGCCCCACCAGACCTCTTGAATCAGAAACTTGGCAGGTGGACAACAAGCTGGGTAACCTTCGGGGGTCCTGGCGCCACCCAGTGTGAGAACCACCGTGTAGCAAAGTGACAGTCAACCGTGGCCAAGTGCTAGCATCACGCTCGGAACTTAGAGCACAAAACCAACCCCAGGCTCCCTTCAGACTGGCTGCATCAGCCCTGGTCAGGGGCCAGGGGAGGGCTGTTTCCCATGAATCTCTCGGGCCTGGGAAGTGACACATGTTTGGACTCAGATCCTGGCCCTGCTTCCTAACAGCTGGGAGACTTTGGGCAAGTCACTTAAATGCCCTGGGCCTCACTTTCTTCAGTTGCAAACAGAAGACGGTCAAGACAGTACCTTCCTCACAGGTGTATGGGGGTTCACGTGTTCGTTTCTGTCACGTGCTCACCACGGCTTCTGGGACACAGCGAATAGTAAATGCGAGTTGCTATTACTGGTAGCAGTAGTATTACTAGTCTCACTTTTCCCCCAGTATGATCATTATTGCTACTACTACCACCACCACGATTACCATCACTATTACTACTACTCCTACTATGACCA